TGCCACTAGCTGCCACTGCCTGCCATGGCCACTACCACTGTCCTACGTCAGCGGCAGCCGAGTGTGCAGGAGTCTCTCTCGCCGCAGCAGCTTCGCGAGTGGGCTATCTGGTGGGGCAGCCCCGGTGGCGGAGCTAGCCGTGCTAGAGCTGGAGGTGCTGGTGCTGGCGGTCCTCGTACTCGTCGGCGGGAGCCGCTCTCGTCGCAGCAGCTTCGCAAGAGGGCTGTCCGGTGGGGCAGCCCCGGTGGCGGAGCCTGGTGTACTACTACTGGAGGTCCCTGTGAGTCTACTCCTGTTGGTAGTGCCGCTGGTAGACGCGGAGGTTCTGGGGGTGGACAGCAGCGGCAGCAGCGTTCGCCGGAGACTCTCTCTGCGCAGCAGATTCGTGAGTGGGCTGTCCGGTGGGGCAGCCCCGGTGGCGGAGCTTGGGGTACTAGTGCTGGGGGTGGAGAGGCACCTGGTGGCGTAGAGGCTGTTAGTCTTGGTGCTGTTGACTCAGCTAGCACAGGTGCAGAGCCTGAGGAGGCTTTGCACACTTTTACTCTTGACTCCGGCGCGTCTCGTTGCTTCTTCCGCGACAGCACCACAGTCACACCGCTCGCAGTCCCTGTCCCTGTCACACTGGCCGACCCCTCTGGGGGCCCGGTAGTCGCGCGTGGCGCCACTGTTCTCCCTTGTCCGGCAGCCCCTTCCGGCCTCCTCACAGGTCTCCATCTCCCCTCGTTCGCTAAGAACTTGGTGGCTACCTCTGTCCTCCAGGACCAGTGGGTCACTGTCACCCAGCCTGGAGGCGAGTTAGTGGCGATCTGTACGGACTCGCGCACTGGTGAGCACCTCGCCACGTTCACTCGGAGGCCTGGGTCTGGCCTGTACACACTGACCACTGAGTCTGCACTGGTAGCTGAGTCAGGTCAGGTAGCTGCGTCGGTTGAGGTCGCCTCGTCGCAGAGGCGATTACGGGTCCGTACTCCTCTCAGTGGCAGATAGCCATGGACGCAGAGATGGCTTCCTGGAATTCTACAGGCACCTACGTCGACGAGGTTCCCCCACCTGGGGCGAACATAGTCGATGGCATGTGGATTTTCAGGGTGAAGCGGCCGCCGGGTTCTCCGCCTGTCTTCAAGGCGCGTTACGTTGCTCGAGGCTTCAGTCAGTGTGCGGGGGTCGACTTCTTTCAGACCTTCTCCCCCACCCCGAAGATGACCACTCTTCGGGTGCTAGTGCACGTTGCAGCACAGCGAGACTACGAGCTGCACTCCCTCGACTTCTCGACAGCCTTCTTGCAGGGTAGCCTTCACGAGGCTATCTGGTTGCGCCGTCCACGTGGCTTCACTGGGTCGTTTCTTGAGGGTACCCAGTGGAGTCTTCGGCGACCAGTCTACGGCCTTCGACAGGCACCCCGCGAGTGGCACGACACACTGACGACTACGCTTGCGGCTCTTGGCTTCGCTCCCTCGACTGCTGACCCTTCGCTGTTTCTGCGCACAGACACTTCTCTGCCGCCGTTCTACGTTCTTGTGTATGTTGACGACTTGGTTTTTGCTACTGCTGACACTGAGGCTCTGGCCTTGGTGAAGGCGGAGCTGCAGGAGAGACACACTTGCACTGACCTGGGTGAGCTGCGGAGTTACCTTGGCTTGCAGATCACCCGGGACAGAGCACGCCGCACCATCACCCTCACTCAGTCACACATGGTGCAGCAGGTCCTTCAGCACTTCGACTTCACGTGGTCCTCGCCACAGCCCACTCCTCTGTCTACCGGCCACTCGCTCTCAGCTCCACCTTCGGACGAGTCCGTAGAGCCGAGTGGTCCGTACCCAGAGCTTGTGGGTTGCCTCATGTACCTGATGACGTGCACACGACCTGACCTCGCGTACCCTCTCAGCCTCCTGGCTCGCTACGTGGCTCCTGGTAGGCATCGAAAGATGCACTGGGATGCTGCGAAGAGGGTATTGCGTTACTTGTGCAGCACATCGGGCATGGGGCTCGTGCTTGGAGGACGGGGTTCAGTTGTTCTCACCGCTCACTCAGACGCTTCTTGGGCTGACGACCAGACTACTCACCGCTCGACACAGGGGTACAGTTTCAGCCTCGGCACTGGTACTGTCTCGTGGAGGTCCACTCGCTCTTCCTCTGTACTTAGTTCCAGCTGTGAGGCCGAGATCTACGCTGGGGCTATGGCTGCACAGGAGCTCCGGTGGCTGACCTAACTGCTGACCGACCTGGGTGAGCGGCCTCGTTCTCCTCCAGTTCTATACGTCGACAACAAGGCCATGATTGCCTTGTGTCAGGACCAGAGACTGGAGCACAGAACGAAGAACATTGCTCTCCGTTACTTCCTCACGCGAGAGCTGCAACAGCGTGGTCAGCTTCGTCTTGCTTACGTGGCCACTCGGGCCAACACTGCTGATGTCTTCACCAAGTCCCTTGGGTCTAGTGATCATCAGCGTTTCTGCACTGCTCTTGGGCTTGTGCCCACTCTGCCTCACGTGTTTGTCTCTTGATCTTGCTCTTGTTGGTGCTCAGAATGCGTGGTGATCTTGAGATCCACCATGAGCTTTGTTTTGCTTTGCTTCTTCTCTTGACTGGTCTTGTGACCCCTTGTTGTCCCCCACTTTGCCTATGGGGGTGTGTCAAAACATGTTTATATCATGTTAGTGATGTTAGGCTGTAGTGGGTTACTCCCTATGGGGTACAACCCTTTGTTAGGGTTGCTACTTGTACCACTCATCCTACTTTAGTCAATCATTACTGTTTCCTTATTCTGACAGTGTAGCGCTGGCAGGTCGTCGACTTGCAGTGTTGGCAAGCCCCGCTGGTGTTGCGCTGGCAGTTCGTCAACTTGCAGTGTTGGCAAGCCGCCTCCCAGTGGGCACACCGTCGATTTGCTACTCTGGCAAGCCGCCTCTGAGCTGCGCTGGAGGTCGACCTGCATGGTTGCTAGACTGATAGGTCCCAGATGTAGTCACTTTGGTATTGCTATTGCTATCATTATGTATTCTCTTTTTGCTAGTGAAGTTCTTGCCATGTTGCCATGTGAACACGCAAGTGCTAGATAACACAAGGAACGCTACGATCACTCGTACCACCCGTGCCCTCCCACGTAGTCCAACTCCCAGTTTACCGTTACTCTCCGCAACCACAAGCCTCCATACCTGGTCATTACACATTTTTTAGCCGGCGCATGCTCATAAGACAAACGCACATGTATGTGGTAATTGATTATAAGCGCAAATATATTGGGTGTATTTCTAAAAGAGCATGTGATTATTGATTTGAAAATGTGACGAATGTATTGTAGCTAAATACACTCGAACCAATCCGAGCCATGCTCACTCGCCCTTACTCACTTCATGCGCGTCCAAAATGATGCGTTTTGCAAGGGTGCCACGTTAATCAGCATCCCTGCATGTATTTGCATGGCAATCTTACAAGCAACGTTTACAAAGATTCACATATACGACTTGCTATTACAGTATATCGACTCAACTGAAATTACAATGGCGAGATTAATAATCTCGTACACTCTAATTTCATATTTCCATTCCAAAATAATGCAAATTAATTTCTTTTCTTTTTCATACCATTCCCCTATGTCGTGGGGCGTGATGTCGACCGCTGCCATCTTTTGCAATGCAACGTGTTGCCGGTATTTGCCAACGATGGCGAGTCCTTTGAGAAGTGTAGGTTCCCCTTCCTCACAATCGGAGCTGTCAGAAGACCTGCACTGGAGATGCCTGTTTGATCATAGGGATACATGTTTGCTAGCCTGGGGGGTTATGGGCGCACAGACCCGCTACTTAACAAGCCCTTTTATCCCAGTGGTCTAGTGGCTGGGATGCTGACAGCAGCACGCATACAACCAGGATGAGGGAACTCGCAGCATTGGGTAGTCGTTTCTTGCCCTTCAACAACTTGGACAACATGTATCCGTGCCACCGTTCGTAGATCGTCTATGTTTTTTTTGTACTTATATTGCCGCATCATCTTTGTTACTGCGACCCCATATTTCTTAGGCGCCGTCAGAAATAATTGCGATTGCATCTCCTCCTATTGTCCTTGTTACACCATCAATGGAAACGGGTGATCCTCCCAAACTTTTTGGATTGGATCTCCTCACGAGGTAGCAGCAAGTTATGCGCTGTTGCTTACGTTGATTGATCTGCAAATGTAGACTCACCGCCCATAGTTGAGACTCCAAACATTTTTCAGGAAAAAATGTACGCCTTCCATCTCGATTCCTTCCACGCCAGTCTCTACATGCATGCCCAATAGTGCACCCAGAACTAATGTCCCTTTTGGATCAGTCACCAACAATCTTTGCTCATGAAGCAAATTCACCAATTTCAACCAACTGACGACCAAGTGATGAAGCAACTTTGACTGCTAAAAACAAGTTTCTCGTCATCTCTAAAATGCGGACCAGCATCGTATTCAACGGACGTGACTTCTACCCGTCGAATTACAAGCTAGAACTGCTCCTTCAAAACGCGCAAATGTTCTACTTCTTTGAAGATAGCTACCCACGACCAACAAGCGACTCCGACAAAAGTATTTATTTCCGCACGACTCCCAACTTAGCCCCTGCTGCACAAAACAACACATGGTGGGGTTGCGCCTTTTCCTCTCGAATGCGCGACCACTCCCACAACCCACCGTCGTCACCGTGGCCAACCAGAAACTGGAAGCCAAATCCTGTCGCATCGTCGTCCTGAAGGCACATGAGAGTAACATACAAATTACTCTCAACGACATGCTCATCGTCAAAGACCTCAAATTCAATATGTTGTCGGCCTCGCAGCTAATCACAGCGGAGTCAAAATGAGCACGGATCTGGATACGCGCTCCATTCCCCTCCACTGGAGAGGTGAAGACTGGAACGACGAGCCAGAATCTGCACCGCATGTCTTGGACTTTGACATCCCTGACTGCTGCGGCGACTCCGATGACATCATTGACCTCGTGCCTCGCTACCTAAAAGAGCATCCTGGCGGACGACCATGGGTCAAGCATCATATGGTCCCGATAGACAAGAAGAGAAAAGGAAGAAAGGGAAGGAAGGGGCTGACAAGAAGGGGAAAGAGAAGGTTGACGAACCTGTCAAGAGTGCTCCAATCAAAACCGTAGGCATTGTTGACGAAGCAGAGTAGCAAACGTGTCACCCCCACGGCATGCGAGACTCATAACTAGTGGCAGCTCTCACACTCCACCAACCGCGAACCTCACGACATGATCCCACGGTTCGGGATCGCTTGGAGCGAGTAACTCGTTACCTCGGCCCAGGCGCGTTTGACAACAAAGGCCGTCCCTTGCTCTATGATTGGGAGACCTTCCACGCCATGCACCCCTGGTCATAGCGAACTCACACCTCTGAGCAACTCCAACGACTCGAAAAATAGGAATCGCGACGCCGTTAGGCGGAGGAGGCCGAGGAGGAAGCCAGGAGGAACGTTGGCGGGTGGGGAAGCGGAACAGGCCCATGGGGTACGAAGGAAGAAGGTGGATGGTGCAGAAGCGGCGCAGAAGGCAGCAGCGCAACATCAGGGTGGGAGAATACCAAGTCGGACACCGACAACGGGAAAGAACAATTGGAACAATACCTAGAGAGAGAGAGAGAGAGAGAGAGAGAGAGAGAGAGAGAGAGAGAGAGAGAGAGAGAGAGAGAGAGAGAGAGAGAGAGAGAGGCACTAGGAACCAGTCCTTAGCCTCTCTTGAGCCTCTCTTAGCCTCTCTTCCCTAGTATATAAGGCCTAGGAGCTCTTGTTTCCAGTCATTGTGTTCTGTTGAGTTCCTTTCACTCTCAGAATCCAGCGGCTATGGAGAGAGATCGAGAGAGAGAGAGAGATGCACTAGGAACCAGTCCTTAGCCTCTCTTGAGCCTCTCTTAGCCTCTCTTCCCTAGTATATAAGGCCTAGGAGCTCTTGTTTCCAGTCATTGTATTCTGTTGAGTTCCTTTCACTCTCAGAATCCAGCGGCTATGGAGAGAGATCGAGAGAGAGAGAGAGAGAGAGAGGCACTAGGAACCAGTCCTTAGCCTCTCTTGAGCCTCTCTTAGCCTCTCTTCCCTAGTATATAAGGCCTAGGAGCTCTTGCTTCCAGTCATTGTGTTCTGTTGAGTTCCTTTCACTCTCAGAATCCAGCGGCTCGCGCCGGCCGCCTTCGGCGGCCGCCGCTCGCTAGCGCGGCCTTCGGCCGCGCGTAAGGGGTGACAAGGAAACGAGGAGAGACAACACTATAGCAGGAAGACATACAACATGGTGCAGTAGCAACAACAACAGCAACAACACCCTCAGGGTGAACTTCAACGCCATGGGGAAGCCCAAGGGCCAGCCCAAAACCAAGGTGGCCGGCAAGGGAAAGACAGCGGCTACTCGGAGAGGATCCAGCATAGTCGCCCGTCCATCCAGCGCAGGACAGATGCTGCTGCTGACACGAGGCCGAGTGGTGCCACCCGGGCAGTCTCGGCAAGCTCCAGCAAAGCCAGGGGCCCGGGCCCGAGGGCAGCACCAGGGGAGCCAGGCCAGTACCCAATCAGGGGGAGGAACTGCTGCAACTCCGCCGCTGCAGCCTCTGCCGCCTCCAGCTCCGTGGGCAGCAGACCCTGGATCTCAAGCCCTTGACGCTCCAGGCACAGGTGAGAGGCCGGAGGCGGCGGTGGTCGCGGTCGCGACGCCAGGGGCAGCGGCTGGCGAGGAGGAGGCGCCTGATGGCGCTGCGGCGGCCAAGACGACGGTGGCGCAGGTGGGGCAGGGGGCAGACTCGGGCCAGTCTGACGGGACTGCCGCTGCCGCTGGCGGCGGCTTAACTTCACCGTCTGTCACCCCCCAGACTGCATCGCGGCTTGCAGAGGAGCGGGTGCCGGTGTCGGAACAGGGGCTGCCCGTGGAGGTGGGGCTGGCGGCATCCCCCGCCCCGGTGGCTGCAGCTGAGATCGCGGCGGTTGTGACTGCTGCGGCTCGGGGACGGGAGGGTGAAACGGACGAAGTGGATGCGACGACGGCCGTTGCGTCCGCCGGAACGGCTGCTGCTGACGAGGGCGCAGGCACGCGGGGGCGCGGCCAGGCGGCGGATGAAAGACAGCGCCGCGGGAAGAGCGTCGCTTCTCCCGCCGCTGCTCCCCCCGCCCGCGGGAAGAAGGGGAAGTGGCCTCGTGCCCAGCCAGCAGCGAGGCGGCCCGGAGCAGGGCTGGGACCTGGTTCCCCGGGACCCCTCCTGGGCTGGCTGCTGCCAGGGCGGTCGCCACAAGAGCTAACGCGTCCGTCGTCATCGCAGGGCGGGCCGTCCCAGCAGATCGCCTCCGACGAAGTCCTTCCCGCCGGCGAACAAATACCCGCCGACCGAGGGGCCGTGCAGGAACCAGGGATGACGCCACCCATGGAGCCGGGCTCCGGCAACCGCGCCCCGCCAGCAGCGACAGAGGTGGCGGCGGCAGCTGGTGAGATCGTGCCCCCGCAGATGGGAACCAGGCGCTCGGCGAGGCTAGGAGCGATCACCTGGGGCCCGCCACGTGGCGGACGAACGCCGTGGATGCCGGCAGGACGGGGGGGACTCAACGGCGCAGCAACAGGAACGGCAGGCGGAGCGGGGAGGGGAGCTCGCGGGGGTTTCCGCGGAGGCCTGAGAGGGGGACGGGGGGGGCGCAACCGGATCCCCAGATCTGATATTCCTGTTAGAACAGGCCCTTGGCGGGAACGCCACGACAGGCCGGAGATGCAGGAAGCGGGAGCGAATGAGGAGCGCGAAGGTTCTGACAACTCCAGGAATGACCCAGAGTTTATGGGTGGTGAGGAGGAGGAGTCTGAAGAAATCTCCTTAGACGATGAGGAGGAACCGGCAAGGAGAGCCACACAACGCCAGGAGAGGGCGGCGGGTGGAGATGCCCCACAAAGTCTGGGGGGGGAAGGAGAACCAGCCACGGAGGACACCGATGTGCCATCGCCTGCCGACCTGGCAGGCAAGGAGGACATCTGGCGGGCTGCGGGGGCCTGGAACGTGGATATCCTGTCTCGGGGGGACCAGCCGTTTCTCGTCCGCCGCCTGCCCCCACAGATCCTGGACAGATACTGTCTGTGCATGCTGGTCGCACTTCATCGCTTGGGCAAGAACCCAAGCTGCCCAGGTGGCTGGTTCGTTCTACAATTCCTGCCGAGGCTCACCCTGAGGCCCGCCACCGAACCTGTGTCTGGGAGCCGCTGGACTCACATCGAGGCAGGTCTGCACAAATTTCAACGTGGCGAGTGGGAGGACCTTTTCGAGGCAGCTGGGGTCATCCCCGATACGGGGGGTCCGATGCGACATCAAGCGGATGACGAAGGTGTTTGTGCGCGGGCGGAGGGACTTATGAAGAAAGGGAACATTTCGAAAGCTGTGGCGGCGTTGCGAACAAGCCCACTGGCAGAACCATCCCCAGCTACACGAGAGGCACTCCAAGCGAAGCACCCTGCAGCGGAGGAAGGCATCCCGAGCTGGGTAACCGGAATTGGTAACTCCAATCTGTCCGTCCCGCTGGATACACTTCGCGAAATCTTGGCGAAGTGTCCGAATGGGGTGGGGGCGGGGCCTTCTGGAACTTGCTTCGAGCACCTGAGAGACCCAGCTCTCGCCAACGAGGAGGTGTTGCTTCTTTTCGCCAGTGTAATCAATCGGCTACTGAGCAGCAGCACGTACGTGACTTGCTGCTGCCGTGCCGATTGATCGCCCTGGAGAAACCTAATGGCGGGGTTCGGCCGATCGCGATAGGCGAGGCACTTCTTCGTATAGTTGCTAAAGCGGCGCTTCATTCTCTAGCACCGAAGATTAGGGAGTTCTTACTACCTGTGCAGTTTGGAGTAGCGGTGCCAGGAGGAGCGGAGTGTATTATCCACACCGTCCGTTCCCTACTTCGAGAGGATGAGAGCCACGTCGTCATCCAGCTGGACATCGAAAACGCATTTAATAGCGTTGAGCGACGGGCCTTCCTTGAGTCGTTACAATGGTCGAACCTGAGTCCTCTCATCCCTCTCGTCCGGAATCTCTACGACGGCCCATCACGGCTGCTTACTGATGCTCGCCTCGGCACCGACCACATTTTGAGCTCGCGCTGCGTCAGGCAGGGAGATCCCTTAGGTCCCCTCCTGTTTGCAGTTGCAATCCAGCCAGCCCTCCTAAGTATATCGGCGACGATGCCGGAAGTGGCGGTGGTTGCCTACGCCGACGACATCACCATCGTCGGGCCTAGGGAAGCAGCTTGCCGAGCTTTCACGAAGATAGCGGGTGACCTAGCCGACTGTGGGCTGCGCTGCAACGTTTCCAAGTCCTCGGCGTGGTGCGCCATACAGCAAGGAGACCAGGAGGAGCTGCCTCTAGGCCTCTCCGCGGACCCAGGAGGCATAAGGGTCCTGGGTAGCCCTATCGGCGGTCGGGAGTTCTGCACCAGCCAAGTAAGGGCGACGCTGGAAGAGGCGGCATCACCGCTCCGCCTCATCTCCCAGCTCCACCCTCAGACGGCCCTGCTGATTCTCTCGCGCAGCATCTCCCGCCGCATCTCTTACTTACTGCGGACGACACCGGCAACAGCCCTGGGCCTGGAGGAGTGGAGGGGATGGAGCGAGGCTTTAGTGGGCTCGGCCCTCGCAGCGGCGAAGCTGAACATACCGACGGCGGAAGTGGACCAAAGTCTCTTGTGGCGCCAGGCGACTCTGCCCGTTCGGCTCGGTGGTCTGGGGATCATAGACCCTATCTCGGAAGCGCCAGCGGCCCACATTGCTTCAGTGACGGCGGCACACTCCCTACTGCAGAAGCTGGGCCTTCCCCCGGAGTGCCTGCTCCACAGGGCTATTACGCTGCTTGCCCATGGTTGGTCCCCCCCCCCCCCCTGACTTCAACCCGCTGTCTGCCCTTGAGGAGGGCCTCCCAGCCCAAGCACAGGCGGTCCTTGGCCAGTTCAGAGCGGACAGTACGGGCACAGGCAGCTTGCAGCTGGGCCTATCGAAGCAGATTAACTTGCAGCGGGCGGCGGACCTTCTGGGTGACACAGTCGTGGACAGGCCGGGCAGGCACAGGGGGCATGGGATCAGGCTGATTAGTTTGAAAGGGGTGGGGGCGGGCGACTGGCTTCAGGCTGTGCCCACGAGAGCTGACCTTACCATCTCCCCTGGTCAGTTCTCCTTGGCTTTAGGCCTCCGCCTAGGCATGGAACTGCCGGTAGCTGAGGTGTGCCCATGCAAGCGGCCGGGATCCAAAATCCAGGATAAGAGCCTACCGAACCATCTGCTACGATGCCAGGATGGGGGGATGCGGTCCGAACACACAATGCCCTCGTGTACGCTGCGCTACGAATGGCGAATGAGGCAGGCTACAAGACCTACCATGAGACCTCGGCCTTCTCTCCACCGGTCCTTACGAAGAGAGCGGACTTGGCAATCCAGGATCAGGAGTCGGGAGAGACCTGGGTGACGGATGTCACTGTGACGGACCCGGTTCTGCAGGAGAGGGACGTGAGGGCACGTAGGCCGCCAGGCTGGGCGGCAGAGGAGGCCTCGCAGAAGAAGCATCGGCTGTACGAGGGGCGACCGAGCTATGCTGGCTTCTTCGGCTGGCGGTTGAGACCTATGGGGCAATGGCTGCTGACACCGTACAATTCCTTCGGATGTTGGCAACCCATGCCGCCAAGAAGAGGTTTAGGCAGGGCAGACTCACCACCACGGCTGCTCGGCTAACAGCGCATTACCGCCAGAGATGGTCGGTGATGCTACAGCGTAGCCAAGCAATCTCCCTCCTGTCCAAGTCCAACCATGCGGCAGAGGCGGCTTTCCCACAGGCAGCTGCAGACCCATGGGCCCCACGCCTGGCGGACCTCTGGCAGATGATCCCTGACGAGTATGAGGAGCGGGAAGCTCCTGCTAGGGCGCCTTAGATGACCGTGGGTGAGCAAGGGGACGGCGGGGAAGCGGGAGGATGGTGAGTGGTGAGGAGGAGCTGGAGGGTGGGGCACGAGAGGGAGTAGCAGGGGCGGCAAGGGAGAGGGGGGAGAACACAGGGTGCGGCAGCTTCAGGGCAAGGGACCGTCTGTGTTGACAGGGTTTTGGGCCTTCTGTTGGATTTGGATGGATTGGGGGCTCTTTGTGCTCATGCTCAGCCTGCTTGCTAGCTTAGCTACCGTGCCTATATGCTTGCATGCCTTGCTTCGGCCAGTTAGTCACCAACACTATGCCATGCCTGTACCCTATGAACTCTATCAATACATGACTGCTTGAGAGAGAGAGAGAGAGAGAGAGAGAGAGAGAGAGAGAGAGAGAGAGAGAGAGAGAGAGAGAGAGAGAGAGAGAGAGAGAGAGAGAGAGACAACACACCTACAGGCAAGGTAAGTCCCCAGCAATGGGGAGGAAGAAACAACAAACAAAGGCGGCAGCGGGTACAACAACGCCTACGGGTCGGGAGCAATCAGGAACATCCGCCGATCCATCCAACGGAGCGCAACCGCGAGGGCGGGTACTATCTCAAGGGGCGCCTCCTCGGCGGCCATGGCTACCCTGCGGAAAGCAGTCACTCCAGGCCCTTCATTCAGCGACGGGTCTTCAGGCTCAAGGGGCAGGCACAGCATCGTCGACATCGCCTGAGCAGCGGCCTCCCTCACCACCCCCTGCTCGAACTCGCTCAGCTGCGGGTTCCGTGAGGCAAGGTTCTGCCGCCCAATCGCGTGGTTCAGCTGCTCCAACACCGTCGCCACGTTCGACAAACAACGCCCTACACCGCGCATCCGCTGCTCCCACCGGCAAAGGTCGAAGTAGCTCGGCTCCTCTCCCCACTGCCGGCCCCACACGTCCAGGTCCGGCTGCACGCCCCAAGGGGGGTGAGGCTCCCAGTCAGGGTCGGGATCAGGAGTGGTTGGTGGACGCTCAGGCGAATCCCATCCACGCGGGTAAGGGCGACGGGGAGGGGGGAACCGGAAGGCGGTCTGCGGGACGGTTGGCACGAGGGGATGCTGACGCCGAGGTTGCCGCCACGGGGGTGGCGCCGGCGGAGCAGGGTCTTCAACAAGCGCCTGAGGAGGAGCGACGGGAAGCGCAACTGGTACAGGAGGCGCCGTCTGGGGCGGCGCGGACTCGATCGGCGGCGGCAGCGGCGGCGCTGGGGTCTCCGCCGAGGCCGGCGTTGACGGCTGCGGCAGCAAGGGCACAGGCGCGGAGGCAGTTGACTGCGCCAACGGCTGAAGGGCCGTCCCAGACGCTGACGAAGTCTGCTGCAGCGACGTCACAGACTGGGACATTGGGGGCGGGAGCTGCAGTGGCTGGGACTGCGCAGCCTGGTTTGGAGGGGACTGACCCAGTGGTCGGACCGCCGGCGGCCCATACTGGCGCTGGGGACGAGGAGGGCGGCGGCGGCGGAAGGATTGCCCGCGAGGCCGTAGTTGGGGAGGGGCCCGTCCCCGAGAAAACCGGAACATCGGCTGGCGAGGAGCCGGTGAGGGAGGAGGAGGCTGGGCGACAGCGCCGCCAACCCCGGCCGCAACTACATCCGCGGCGGCTCGGAGCAGGGCTGGGACTTGCCCGCCCTGGACCCCTTGCGGGATGGGAGAGGCAAGAGGACTTGCCGGGCGGTCCGGCTGAGGAGGAGGTCGCCGCTTGCCTGTCATCCGGCCGGCCGGTGAACGCGGCGGAGGAAACACGTGAGGAGGATGCCGACCTGGCGGAGGGAGCGGACCAGGAGGAGGAAGTGCTACGCCGGGCGGAGGCAGAACGCAGGCGGAGGACTGGAACGAGCCGTCAGCGAGCACTGCAAGACCAGGCCGACGATCGCGTGGCAGGCCTACAGCCGTCAAACGCGGCGCCGAGGGCGGCGGGTAGAGGCAGGGGGAGAGGGAGAGGCGGCCGAGAACTGGCGGGAGCGGTGGCAAGAGAAAAAGCGAGATCTGGAAACTGGCGGGAAAGACACGCGAGGCCTGAGGAGCAGGGCGAAGGCCCAATGAATTGATGAAGAAGGGGAAGTGGGGTCAGATTATATGGCCTCGCAAGAGGCCGAATCTGAGGATGCCTCGCTGGAAGCCGAACAGGGGGTACCCATCCCAGCCACAGACAGGGGACAAGGGTCTAGGCGTGGAAGGAGGGATGAGGGCGCCGACGTGGGGGAATCCGCACCGCAGCAGCCCATCGCGGGCGCCAACGTGGCGGCCAGCAAGGAGCGAAGTCCCTCTGCCATCGTGGACGACGAGGGCACGTGGCTGAGGGTACACGCATGGGATCTGGGGCCACTGCAGTCCAGCGCGCAACCCTTCTTGGTCCGGAAGCTTCCACCCGAAATCCTGAAAACTTACAGCATTTGCCTCACCCTCCCACTCCTCCGACTAGCGAAATTTCCGAGTTGCCTGGCGGCGTGGCGAATCTTGCAATACCTCCCGAGGCTGACACTTCGGGCGAACCTCGAGAAAACCCCCGAGAATCGGTGGGCAGGGGTGGAGAAACGTCTCCGGCAATTTCGCGAGGAGGATTGGGACTCACTGTACAAAAAGGCTAGCACCTTCCCGGCAAACTCCAAACCCAGCCGTCACGAGCCGGACCCGGAGGGTGTTTGTGCCAGAGCGGAGGGGTTGGTTCGGAAAGCAAACCTGGCGAAAGCGGTGGCAGCGCTGCGAACTTCGCCGCTGGCGGAAACGTCGCAGGTAACCTTGGAGACACTTCGCACGAAACACCCCCGGGCGGAATCGGCGATACCCGAGGTTACCGGAGGTTACAACACGTCCGAGCTCGCCATTGGGGCGGATTCTTTTCGCGAAGTACTGGCGAAGTGCCCGAACGGAATAGGAGCGGGCTCATCAGGCACGTGCTTTGAACACCTCTGTGACCCAGCTCTAACAAACGGGGAGGTTTTTGTGCAGCTCCACAAAGTAGTAAACGGGCTTCTTAGCGCGTACCAGAACGTGCAGCTGCAAGACCTCCTGCTCCCAGCCAGGTTGATAGCGCTCGAGAAGCCGGACGGAGGCGTGAGACCCATAGCGATTGGCGAGGCGATTCTTAGAATCACGGCCAAGGCAGCACTTCGCGAACTCGCGGCGGAGATCCGCGGGTATTTTCTCCCGGTTCAATTCGGCGTCGCCGTCCCCGGTGGGGCCGAGTGCATCATTCACACGACCCGCACGCTCCTCGCCGAAGATCCGTCAAGAATTGCGATCCAGCTGGACATAGAGAATGCATTCAACTCAGTAGAACGGGGGTGCTTCCTAGAGTCAATGCAATGGACAGACCTCACCCCGCTCTTACCGTTTGTACGCACCCTATACGGCAAACCCTCAAGGCTCCTACTCGACAGTGGCTTTACAGCGCCTTCAATCGACAGCGCACGCGGCGTGCGCCAGGGGGATCCGCTCGGCCCCATGCTCTTTGCTGCGGCGATACAGCCGGCCCTTCTCACGACGGCGGCCGCAGTTCCCACCGTCACCATGATGGCGTATGCGGACGACATCACAGTGATCGGCGAGTCGGCGATGCTGTGTGACAAACTACTGGGACTCGGCCTTTGGTGCAACCTAGCCAAGTCCACGGCATGGAGCCCCTCGGGGGTCACGGGAAACCTACCGGAAGGACTGGTGGCGGCGGTGGATGGTATCAAGGTGTTGGGGAGCCCAATTGGCACGTTGGCGTATAGCAGGCAGGTGGTGAGGGCGACGCTGGAGACTACAGCAGCACCGCTTGAGCTCATCGGCAAGCTCCACCCCCAACACGCACTGCTGTTGCTGACACGGTGCATCTCCCGTAGGGTCTCGTACCTGCTACGAACCACGCCTGCGGATGTGCTCCCACTAAGGGAATGGAGGGAATGGAGCGAGAGGCTCCTGTGGACGGCGCTCAAGGCGGCACACTTACACACGCCGGCGAAGGAGATAGAGCAGAGCCTCGTGTGGAGGCAACTCAGAGCCTCGTCGCTGCCGATCGCCCTGGGCGGGCTTGGCTTGGTGGACCCCCTCTCGGAGGCCCCTGCAGCGTTTCTGGCATCGCTGAGCGCGGCGCAGGACTTGCTGCTGCAAGGAGCCGACACACAGGTCCACCCTCTCCAACGAGTGGCGGCGCTGCTGTCGCCACACGAGGAGGGGGGGGCGAGTGGGGGGAGGACGACCTTGCAAGATCTGCGGAACAGGCTCCCCGAACCAGCGCGTGAAATCCTGCGGGAGGCCGGACGGGGGAGGGAGAAGAAGGGCCACCTGCAGGAACGGCTGTCCAAGCAAGTGAACCTGGACAGGGCGGCGGAGCTGGTGGGTGACACGCGGATTGACAAGCCGGGGGTGGACAACGGCCACGTGGTCCGGCTGATTGCCCTGCAGGGGACGGGGGCTGGAGACTGGCTGCACGCAATCCCCACGCGCGCGGATCTGACCTTCTCCCCTGGCCAGTTTGCCATAGCCCTTGGCTTCCGGCTGGGGCTGACACTGGCGGTGACAGAGCAGTGTCCCTGCGGCAAGCCACGGTCGAAGATAGATGACCGTAGCCTACCCAACCATCTGCTGCGGTGCGCGGAGGGGACGGACAGGACCAACACGCACAACTGCCTGGTGTACGCTGCCCTTCGGATGGCCAGGGAGGCCGACTACATGACCATCCACGAGACTTGCGCCTACTCGCAAATTGTCAACCCTAAGCGAGCGGACCTGGTCCTCGTGGACAGGGAATCGGCCGAGACCTTCGTGACTGACGTCACCATAACCGACCACGTGCTGCAGCGTAGAGACACCCGGGCTGTGAAGCGTCCTGGCTGGGCAGCAGAGGATGCGGCAAGGACGAAGAGAGGGCTGTACGAGGGGTGCCCAGAGTTCGTGAGGGTGTTCGGGCTGGCGGTAGAAACCTATGGGGCTTTGGCACAAGACACCCAGCGGTTCCTACGCCTCCTAGGCACCCAGGCAGCCAAGAAGAAGCACAGGCAGGGGAGGCTGACCACGGTCGCCTCCAAGCTCACAGCACACTACCGACAGTGCTGGTCGGTGATGCTCCAGCGCAGCCAGGCCAATACCCTGCTGGCAAAGTCCAACAGGGCAACTGAGCGTGCATACCCCCAGGCCCCAGTCGACCCGTGGGAGCCACACCTTGGGGACCTCTGGCAGGTCCTTGAGGACGAGCTGGACTGGGGGCCGGACCTGGACGGGTGAGGGGGCTGGAGTAGAGGAGCTGGAGGAGTGAGGAGGACCCCAGGCGGCGGTCCTTGGGGCTAGGCACTAGGTAGGCTGCATGGCAGTCCTGGCCATCAGCAGGCAGGCTTAGGATGTGGCTGTTGTGGCTGTCCCTTGCTTGTGTGCTGGTTGTTGTTTGCCTAGATTGCATGTTTAGGCTTGCTGGCTCACTTGGGCCATGCCTGTACCCTGCTGATTATCAATGAAGGACGGCTTGAGAGTGAGAAAGAGAGAGAGAGAGAGAGAGAGAGAGAGAGAGAGAGAGAGAGAGAGAGAGAGAGAGAGAGAGAGAGAGAGGCCCTAGGAGCTAGTCCTTAGCCTCTCCAGCCCTCTCCAGCCTAGTATATAGCCCTGTTTTGGGGCTCACTCTCCTCATTGTTCAGTTCTTTCTCATTTGCTTCTCCTAACCGAGCGGGAGAGAGGAGAGAGAGAGAGAGAGAGAGAGAGAGAGAGAGAGAGAGAGAGAGAGAGAGAGAGAGAGAGAGAGAGAGAGAGAGAGAGAGAGAGAGAGGCCCTAGGAGCTAGTCCTTAGCCTCTCCAGCCCTCTCCAGCCTAGTATATAGCCCTGTTTTGGGGCTCACTCTCCTCATTGTTCAGTTCTTTCTCATTTGCTTCTCCTAACCGAACGGCTCGCGCCGGCCGCCTTCGGCGGCCGACGCTCGACGGCGCGGCCTTCGGCCGCGCGTGAGGGAACGGCAAGAAACAACACACAAAATTGTCTATATTCAAGGGAATTACACGCATGGCAAAACCTACCGCGGCCTAGCCGCGCGCAGCACTCATGGGGCAAGCGGAGCCCGCTCCTACATGCGGTGAGCTCCAAGGGCGTGAAGAACGCCCGTCAGCGTCCGCCACAGCTCCCGGACCACAAGCGTACTTGCGCCGATCGCGGCGGCTCCAGAACCTGCGCGCAAGTGTCGCCTCAAGCCCCGGACAGCCTCGTCAAGCTGTCCCACAGGCGCAGCGCCACCCTCTGCGGGCGCAGCCAGCACGGGCGCCAGCAGCACTGCGAGCTGGTCCGCCGCGTCTAAGCAAGTCTCACGCGGGCGGTCACGGAACGTCTCCGGAGGAATCACGGGGAGGGACGAGTGAGCAAGCACCTGTATCAGCAGCAACGCGTGAAGACTCTCCGCAAGGCGATGGAGCTGGCCGAGCGTCGCCTCCGGCACATGCGTCTGCGGAGGTTGAAGCGCCTCCGCCAGGAACAGAAGAGGCTCATCGGCAGCAAGAAAGGCCGATCCACCAGCAATGTGTTGAGAATACCGAGCCCCCGCCGCTCCTCCTCCCGCGAC